AACGGGATGTAGAATAGGAAGTCTCCTTTCCAGTACCGGTCCGGTTTACAAGATCGTGTGGAAAGCATAAAGATAAGAAGGAATACGGTATACGATCGATGTGTAAACCTGGTATGCGGCGGTAATGTAACATAGTATCTTAAAATATATCGCTCGGCAAAGAGAGCATACACAACCGAGCAATAAAACGTCTCAATGGAAATAAAACACAGCGTTGATTAGGGCGCATTTAATATTTATGCATTTACGTAGCGCGAATCTCGCGTGATAAACGCGACTGCGACGAGAAAATAATATATTGAAGTGGGTACTTAGGGAATACATAATACGTTTTAACAATCGCATCATTTTAAGATCGAGTCGTATCGATTGTACTCTGTAAATATTTTTTGTACGGTTTTATACATTATATTTTATAATAAAATATTTTTTAAGACCTCTCTCTCTTTCTCTTTTTGCCTTTTTTCTTCTCTCTTTATTCAAACACAAGATCGAACACGGATCGATTTCGATTTTATTTCCCGTCACTCGCGTGAAAACTTGCATCTCGAATAATATAAGCAGTAGATTTATAGAAGTAAACCGAATGTGTTTGACGTTAAATCTGGTCGATTCGTCGATCGTTTTCGATAAGCACGCGCTCGGCCGATTAAAACGCAATCCGATCCGATTCCTGCGTCACACTTATACACACGATTGTAAAAGCGCGTATCGCGCGGATACGCACGCGATCGACGATGTTTCCAGTCTCGTATGCTTTTCCCTTCAATTTTTCGCCCGCCCTTTCTCGCGTTTCCGTAACACGGACTTTTCTTTTTTCGTGCCTGGTGGCAAGAAAAACGATAGAATGTTTCACAGACCGTAAACACGAGAAAATTATCGCGCGTGCGGGAGAGATGAAAGGGGGTGCCCGCTGTAACGTAATAGCGAATTCTTCTCGGTAGTTTCTGCGTCCGGCGTGGAAAAATTGGCCCGTTGCTACGCGCGTGATTGCGTTGAATTATGATCAGTTTTGATAATAGGTCGACTTTTCGTGCATTAGTATTAAGATTATTGTCGGCAAATGAAATTATAAATAAAAACGAGTCATATTATCCTTTTGATCATAGTCGATAATAAATTACAATTTAACCATGCGACAAAAACAATATTTCTGAATATTCAACGTAATGATATATGAGATCCGAGAAATTATGTGCGAAAGATAATTGGTGTTTATCAGATTATACAATCTTAAAATAAAATATTTAACGGATTTTCTTTTTGATTATAGTTTTTATTTTAAAATTTTGCATTATGTTATATATATATTACTCAATATTATTACTATTATTATTATTCAATTTTTATTTTTTATTTGAAATTATTATATATTCTGTGTGTGGGAGGGGGAGAAGAGACTAAGAAGATTTTGTATTTGCCTGTACGTGAACAATGGAAGAGGCATTTGTTACGGTAGGTTTATATTTGACAGGTATCGAACGATATTTCCATCCGGTGAACTTTTGTTTCTGTTCGTCGATGAGTACAAAACTGTGGGCTCCGATATATGATGACACATTCATTTCCGAGATATATCTGTACTCTGTTTTTTTCCCATGATTTTAAAACTTTATGCTCGATAGAAAAGCAATGCAACATGTGTAAGACTTTCCGACAAATTTATCGTCGTCAAATGGAGCTTTCTTATTAATGAACGATAAGTTTAAAGTCGAGAGTGACGAGAAAGAATAATATTGCAAAACGATCTTTTTATCTATCAACTTATAAATTATAAAAATTTAATACACAATTGCGCGATTTCATCACACATGTATAAATAACAAGAAGTTTTAAAGATCTCTGTATAAATATAACATATTTCAAAACATTTTATAAGAAAATACACGCGCAAGCTTAAAGTTAAAAGGAAAATGAGTTAATTTAAAAAATTAACAAAGTCGAAAAATTATTGAAATTGATATTGAAAGATACTATACTTGTATACTTAATCATCCGTTTGTTGTGTAACACGAACAAGATGCATTGTCCAGAGTTTAACGCATATTATTCCGTATGCGTCGCGAACGTTCATATCTGGTTGCGTGCGCGGTGAATAACGAGAGAGCAAAGGAACGAGACAGAGGTAAAACAATAGGGTGTCCCGGGAACGGAGGCGAGATGCGGCCGCAGAAAGGAGAATAAAGGTGTCAGGTAATGTGATATATGAGATCGATTTGAATCCGGCGTTTAAGCCGCGAGCCATAATTCAATCTCGATCGCCTTTTCCTTCCTTCTCCATCTTTAAGCGATTCTCTCCCCTTTTCCATCGTCTTTCTCGTCTTTAGCCTACCCGCCCGGCCGTGTACTATATCCCTCAAGGGTACGTTCGATACTCGATATATACTTAGGTACATATTCCAGCTACTCTCCTCGTGATACCCGCTCTCGCATATATAACATATATGCATATCGCGAACCCCGTTGACTCCTTAAGGTCTCGTTCACATTGTCTTCTTCGATTACGGACGGATTTCGTTATGGGATTATCGCGCTGCTCGGTTTCATATCGCATCTCGTAATTTCCATTCTGTTATTACTCCAGTTATAATTCCCGGCGCATTGGAAGCGCAGCTACTCGGAAACAATCATTGCCAAAATTATTAGACGCGCGGAAATAAAGATAACTATAAAATAAATATTTTTGAAATCTATTTTGATATTTTTATCACTGATTTTATAATATTTAAAAAGAAACATTAATTTAATGAAAAATAACATTTATTTTGTACAAAGACCGGAGAGTGAAACACATTTCTTTATTATTATCAATCTCACACTAATTTTGAATAATTGGTAATAGATAGTAACATGAGTTTTTGTAACGTTAGTAAAAGTTATTATTATTGAAAAACAATTTCTTGCATTCGCGAATAAAATAAACCGAGGAAATACGATAAGTGATATTTGCGGAAAATCACACGTGGATGCGGAATTTATTTTACATGGGATTCGACCGCTTGCAAAGCGCGTCTTACGTTCTCGTTGACGTGAGACGAGACGAGATTCACGTTTTTCCGCGCAGATGTGTGTAAAATGCATGTCGAGACGTCTGGGTCTGGGTATGCGAGAAAGGAAAGGCTCGATGATATTCGAGCAGGAAATCTGGAGGTCACGTAACAGACCCTTCGCGCGAGATACTATATATTGCATATCGTTATCACATAAACGTAGGTAATGCTAATCTAACGAATGTATCTTATTGTCGTTTCTTAAATTTACAATGCAATTTCGCAATGATTATTGATACTCTTTTCAATATAATATCACAGAAAAAGATGTGAATAAAATTTCCAAAAGCAATAATATATCATAATAATATATTTATAATATATCTATTTAATATAATCAGTTATATTAAATAAATATAACTGGTATTTTTTAAAACTTACATTTATTTAATATAACCAGTTATATTAAATAAATGTAAGTTTTAAAAAATAGTACTTTCTTTAAAAAATATTAAGAATAAGACAGTATTTTTATATTTTTAGAATTGTTGAAAAATTACTGTATATAAACATGTACATAAACATTTTATCAAACTAATTGTCTATTTTAACAAATATATTCCTTAACGTTGTATCAACAGTTTAGTTTGCAATAAAAATATTATTAATATTATATTTTGCATACATTTGATATATCTCCTAAATTCAATATAAAGAATGAAAATTTTTAAATACTTTAAGAATTAAATATTTTTTCATAATAAATAAGCAATTTTATAGATATATACACAAAAATGTAATAAACTAATTTATTCATCAGTTGAATTGCCATCACTTTTTTGCTCTGTTTTTCAAAGAGCACGCAAATCCATGGTAAAAATATAAATTCTGAGATTACGAGCACATATATCTCAATCGTTATTAATGTAAAATTATAGATACAAATATGTAAATAAACACCGGCCGGTACATACTTGTTTTGTTGTCTCTTTTGTTGTCATTAGTCGAGTGACTCACAGCTCTTCGTTCCAATACTTGGCGAAATGTCAACACTTTCCGTGAGTCGGGAGAAAATCTTATACACATTTAAAGTTTCAAATTTATTGCTGAATTTTCTTCGTATTAATATATTCGCGATCGCGATCAACTGTGTCGTTCGATATTTGTAACCTCACTCCGCTTCGAGTCATCGAAACTACCTCTGTATATAATATTATTGCATATCATGCGGCCTGGAAATAAAAGTCGAGCTAATTTCTCGATTAATCGTGGTACACGACGTTAATTAATCGATGCTCCAACGATCCTCGGAAATACAACGTATCGCGTCGCGTCGACCGTGCATCGATTTGAAGTTGACGCGTATCTGAATTTTTCGCAGGCACGCCACGTTCGCATAATTGCGTTCGAAAATCTATTCGGATAGATTAACATTCGATCGACCAATGAGGAGAGAGGAATTTTTCGCTCTCGATTGGTCAATCAAACGTTGTTTTACTCCGATGACTAGATTTTCGAACGCACAGATATTTTCTATAACCGATATTATGACGTCAATTAGCACGCTAAATAAAGTGTAACAAAATTGTACATCAAACCGAAAAAACTCCAGGTATGTTTCTCTTTCACGCGTCGTTTCGTAGCAAATACGGTAAAGGAAAAATGATAATCTTTTCGTTTTCATTTTTACATATCCCGAAGGAGTTATTTACGCGAGTGTCGCGATCGAGTTTTCGCCGCGACTACGCACGTACACAGTAGGCTCGTCGTCGAAGGAATGTACGAAAAAAAAAAAATACAGCTTATTGCTAGTAAATAGAGACGGGCCGGGTGCGTAAGTCAGACAATAACGAGAGATAAACACAACAAGAGCGAGACGGGGTATAGAGTCCCGTACGCGTCGCGGGATACGGCGGTCGTTGGGGTGGGAGAATATTTGGGAAGGGGAACGGAGCACATAAGGCAGTGAGCGGTGGTGTAGTACACGCGCAGCCGCCGGGACGCGCGCATCTGTTGTACGTGTTGGCGCTCTTCTCGTCGCGGAGAGAAGGAGGAGTAGAAGAAGCCCGCGAAATCGCGATCGACGCGGCATTGCGCGCTCGGGCTTCGCGGTCTCGCGTCACGATATCGATATTAATAGCCCGTATTTTCGCGTACGACTCGAATGCGAACGAATTCGAAACGTTCGTTTCTCGATCGAGTTTCGAAATCGTCGGATTACCCGAGGGTGGAGCGGGGGCTATCTTCCGAGTGTCACGTGATACGCGACGATACCCGCGAAATTGCAGTGACTGTGTTGGCGGTGAAGTTGGTCGTCATCATTCGGAGACGCAGCACCATCCATGGAATGCAACGCATGAAAAAGGTATGGATAATTTTGAGATTTTTCCTTTGAGAAAATCCCTTCGGGGGACGCTTTCGATTTCTTTAGCTTCGCGATTATGTCTCGTCATGTATGTGCTATTCTCGCGATGAAACTCACAAGTTATTCGAGCACGTTAGAATGCACTTTTATCGAATTGTATTCCGTCGATTAAAGCGAACTGTTGCGTAAAAAATCAAGATGGCACCAACAACTATCAATCGTATAATTATCGTGCTTTCAATTAACTTGATTTTTTTTTTCTAATTACAGAACAGCCAACGTATTACGCGTCAAAGATCAAAGTTCGGAATTTTCGTGTGATCGTTCGTTTCGAAATACGAAGGTTCGGGATTTTCGTCCGATTATTCGCGTTTCGTGGTATAAACATTCGAGTGGATAAATATTACGTCGCGTTTATTTGGAAGACTTTCGCGAGTTGTTCGTTGTTTTACGCGATCTCGAGAATTACGTCGCATATTTCGGGGCGATACGTTAAATTATTTCGAAATGATCGGGCGAACCGCGTGAAGCGAGCCGTTGTGTTACAACGTCGGGCGTCCATATTCGAATTCCCGCCGTGTTCAGACCGGCCGGGATCGCGCGCACGCTCCGGTAATTTTGCGGAAGCGGCGATCGCAAATTCGCGAGTGTACTAACCGGTTGGCGTAAGAGTTGCCGAAGGATCTCCAACGATGCATCTAGACAGGATGAGAGTGTTGCGGAAGGAGGAGGATGATCTGACCGATCATGAAGCAGCGTGCTGTGGACATCGCTAAAGGGCTTCATTAATTTGCGACGACATCCAGTCAGCGAATTCTGGTGAGTCCAAAAAATCTTTTACGCAACACCACGCTCAATTTTAGACAAAGATTTATATGTATTACATATATTTAATATATTGAACCGGCTATCCTTGTTTGCAGCTTTATTATTCAAAATAAAGCGAAGTAGTAATTATTGAAATTTTTATGAAACAAGATATCTTTTAATAATTATATTAATAAATATTAATTTCAATAAATCTTTAACTAAAATTCGACAGAGTGTTAGTTTAATATTGCGTAATACCGGTTGATTACGTTTTTATTCACTTTTTTCGTTCCGTAATTACATTATATCGATATTGGAATTGTTATGCGTATAATATCTGCTTTTTCCAATGATTATCAGATTATTCAAAACAGCCATATTGCTCGGCACAATTATATAGCGTTTCTATAATTGCTATAATTATAGGATTGTAATATTCACATTTATGCAATATATGTGTTTGTCACGTGATAACATGATATCAAATAGATACTGTGCAAATATAAAATAGATATTCCTAGAGATATTAATAATACATGCAGATTGCAAATATATGCCCCGATATTCTGCATTCTATTAATAACAAATTATATTTGTATATTTGCTATTGAAAATGTTGATACTAAATTTAGTAAAAATTGAATAAAGATTGAACGTATACAAACATTTATTTATATATTTTTGTATATTGAGAGAGGGAGAGAGAGAGAGAGAGAGGAAAAAAAAATTATATATTTTTTACAAGTTATATTAAAATTTGATTTTTTAATTTAACTTTTTTAAATTATATTAAAAAATTATTTAATTCGGGCTTTACATGACACATTTATCGTAAATTAATATTAAATATTAAATGATATTAATTAATATTAATATTAAATGATATTGCAGCACGCAATAACCATTTAATATTATGAATCAAGATAAACCGCATTAAAACTAAAATTTAGATAAAGACAATTTCAATCTATTGCAACAAATTTAATTGCGATAGCGGTACGATGTTGTCGTAAAATGTAGCACTCGCGAGATAAAAATGTAGCACTCGCGAGATAAAAATGTATTCGGCTACTCGACGAAAAGATCGTTAGTCTGGTGCAGCTACCGTGGAAGGTTAGGAGAATGCGACACGATTTCGTTGAAGAAGACCACCTCTTCAAGTAGGCGCTTAAACGTCAACATCTTGGAGAGTGCAGTCACTCGCTACGAGTACATGGAGTGCTGCAGCCGCTCCGTCCTCTCGTGATGTCTCGGTGTTTCCTCTTTTCTGCCCCCTTCCCCCCCCCCATCCCCTTTGCCCTTCGCTGAAAGAGGAGCGGCAAGAATTAATGCACGGTATAACGAGGGATTCATATCAACGGAATATTTCCAGCCGTTCTATTAATTGCGCTTGCATTTCCGCTCCACCGATCGTGTTCGTGATGTATGCGAAATATATTCGAGCCGAGGTTGCTTACCGCATTGGCTGTATTAGTATCGGGATCATTTAAAGCATAATAGTGCATTCGATCGACGTAGCATATTGAATGTAGTATTTATTTAGAAGAGAACAATTTTTTTGCAAATTATATTCGGGCGAAAATCACAGGAATTACTTTGCCGTAGGCAAAATTTGTCACGATTCCCATTTGAAGCAATATCGGTTATCGAAATAATTTAGTACGAAATATATTTCGCTCATGGAATGGTTTTTTATGGCAATAAAATATATGATTTTTTACAAATTCAATAAAAATATTATTTTTTAGTTTTTCATTTTTTTGACGTAATAGATAACATATCGCGAAATATATTCGAAGCAAAATGATTTATTTGGTAAAGCATATTCAGAGCGGTGTAATTTTTATATGGCGACGTATATATACATATATCTAAATTTCTATATTGTTATATATATATAATTTACCACATTTTTTTCATGAAATGCCTTAGTATAAAGAACATCTGGTAACTTTTGAGATAGCCTAAAGCGAAATATATTCGAAACTATGTTTAACCGCAAGAACATTCGCGGTAAGCTATCATGAACTTATTTCAAAATATCTTTAGTTAGTATATCACAAGTTAGTTCATTGCAAAGTGCATAAAATTACAACAAGGTATATTGAATATAACATGACTCGTTACAAGATATATTAAATGTCACATCGTGTATGTAATATTTTACATGATATAACATGTCGCGGATTATTTTGAAGCAAAATAGTAATGCGGAATATGTGAGAAACAATATATAATCATGGATAATTGGTACGGTAGACTATTATAATTTATTCCGAAGTATATAGCTTCATTGCTCGCGGCACGTAGCATACAGCAATGTATAGTTGCACTAATATAATGCACATTCGACTCCTTATCAATGCAATATTCGGCACAACATATAATATCTATATATTGCGAGATATACATAGTTTATTGGAGAATGAATTAAAAATTACTATATCGACCGTAAAACATACTGGCAATTAATTACTTTATCGTGGCATTATATTCGGAACAATGGTATCGCGGTAGTAATCGATAGGCAAAGATAGGGAAACGAATGTAGGTGATAGAGAGATTATAGGAAAAGGGTGGAGGAAGGGAGGATGAAAACACGGTACAGAGAAGAGCCGGTGAAAATTGGAGAGGTCGCATCGCTGATGAGTGCGCTGAACCAAGCTCTTCAGATCTAGGGGAGGTCCTACTCTAATTTCAGCGAGGCGCTCCACCGTGCCTCTCTTCCCATTTTCGCGGTCTTCGTTTAGAATCCGAGACTGCGTTGAAAGCGAGACGACTGTGAGTCGCGCGAATGTCGTTGAGACGACACTGGGAGAGAAGCCCAAGAAAGAGCAGAGACGAATCACTTGTTCTCGAAGGAGTTTCCATTCGTTGAGTACGGCGAGAAGCTCTCCGAGATGAGACGACTAGAAACAGAGGTTGGTCTTCTTTTCGCGACTTTTCACCTCGCCGAGGAATTTTGCTAATTGAGCATCTAACCCCGGCCCAGGTCGGATTAATGTTTGGCCATGTTAACAATGGGCGCTTTTAAAGAACGTTGCTTGGAAAACTCGACCAAGATGTGCCACTAAAAGATGCAGTACGTTACTTAAGCCGCTCGCGTACTTAAGTAATATTTCTCACCGCAAGAACCACGCGGCTTTATGGGGTGTATATATTTTTTAACAAGCTTTGCAAGCAGCCGCTATGAAATAATACATGTGTATAGATTTTACCAAAAAAGAAAATAAAAATAAAATGAAAATAAAATGAGAATAATATATACGAAAATTATCTGAGACATATTTATCACATTTTCTACAATATCAAAATTTTTTAAGAGATTATATTGTGAATAGATAAAAACTCAATGATAGTAGATAGTTAGATGAATGATCGAGGTCTGATATTATTTTGGTATAACAAAATTTTAGTTTTTTTTTTACAGAATTATAACAATATATTACAATAAAATTTGTTTTATTACAATACAATTTAATTTTTTTATCAATACAAAAAGATAATTGATTTCTCTTAAAAACATAAAAACATGTAGGCCATAAAAATATAAACTTGCACAATTCATTGACGATAAAAATTTTGTCAGCATTCTTCAGAGTATTGAAATTTTATCATTATTTAATCTATATTTTTGATAATTAATATTAATTATAAATCCTGAAACTTGACATGTACGCAAATATAGTGTAAGAATTGGAAGCATTTATTGAAAGTAATTAAATATTACAATGATGAAATGTCAATCATCGCGATCACACACACATACAAATATATAATTGAAAATTATTTGCGCGCATAATTCTTTTATCCTTCTTTCTTGCGCATAAATTTTATTAGGTATCAATTTATAATAATCAACGCTACTACTTTACGACATTGTTTACATATTTACCATAATTAGCGGCGCAAAATTTATGGAATGCAAACGGATGCGGCGACCAAACGAAAGAGGAACTGAAATGCGTGGGGAGGGTGGTGCAGTGTTTCATTTTGAACAAGGAGCATTCTCCACGGCCGGCTGGCTTGCTCTAAACAGGCAATATTACCTATTGACTTTGGCTCGCGTGGGGGTTACTTTGTCGATGGTTGACCGGATACGAGTTCCAGCAGAATTTGTCTATATGCGGCTATATTTTGTATGAATTCTAATTCGAAAATTTGATTATTAAAACATAAATAATGTTGAATAATAAAATATTGAAAAAGTAAATAAGAAATTTCTTTAAAAAAAGTGCCTTCCAGAATCGACCACAGATTCGATAATTAAAATTAGCATCCAGGAAGATTTAACGCGTGGAGAAAAATTAGGAAATAAAGAAATTTCAAATACATATATACCGATTTTAGAATCAAAAGTTTCTTTTTTCTTTTTTTCTATCTTCAAAATATTCCTCGCGATAATCGTGAACTACTCTAAACTATATATTTGAAGCAATGTTTTCTCTGATTTTGAACGGATGATTACTTTGCCAGAAATTTTTGTCGTGCTATGATCTCGGTGCATGTTCATCCTGACAGCTGTCCGATTTGTCCTGCGTTTAGTGCATCTCCACCATTTCGCGCGACATATTCAGCTTCGCATAGGATTTATGGACGCTTGTAAAATTTTAAGCTATAGCCGCGAGTAGGTTCCTTCGCCTTTTGTTCTATGCTCTCTTCACTATGTCTTATTTCTTTTGATTTCTTAATGCATCTTTGCGCAAAAACATTCTTCGACTCCGTGGTTTCTCTTTTTATGCTCTTTTATATAATTTTTTTTTTTTATGATACCGATGATTGTTTTCAATTCTGTAGTATTGACTTTATTTAATTGAATGAATGTATCTTTATATTTATGATTTTTGTGATGATTTTTCAATGTTTATTATGTAAATTTACTTTGTCTGATTATTCGCTGTTCGATAGATTTGTTATTACAACGGAAGTGATATCATAATGTCTGTTTCTCTTGCAGAAATTATTTTCCTGAAATTGTAATAATAAAACCGTTGCTTTATATACATACA